ACAGCGTTCAAGAAATGGCTTGGAAACAAAGAACCTTCTACTCGCGAGGCATGCAAGGCGGCAGCAAAAGCAGTGGGGAAAGCCAAAGCTGATTCCTGGGAGAATTTCGGTGAGGTGTTGCAGTCGAATTTCCACACGGCGGCAAACAAGGTATTCTGGCAGACCATCGGCCAGCTCCGAGGTGAAACGAAGGGCGGTCTCAAAGTCTTGAACGACAGGTCTGGACACCCTGTTACCAAGGATGATGACATTCTTCGTCGATGGAGGAGTACTTTGAGGAACTTCTTAACCCCGAGCAACCGCAGGAGGACTGGTCTATGGAGCGGCAGGGAGGGAAAGGACATTACTATCTCTGTAGAAGAAATTACACAAGCTGTGAAAAGCTTGAAAAATGAAAAGCCTGTTGGAACTGAAGAAATCCGCCCTGAAATGCTCAAGGCATTAGGCGAACAAGGCAAGTGTTGGCTTACACCTGTCTGTCGAACTGCGTTGACTGCGGGAAAGATACCAGCGGACTCTAGAACGGGAGTTACTGTACCCGTGTTCAAGAAGGGAGACCACAGGGAGTGCTCCAATTATAGGGGCATTATGTTATTCAGCCTCTCAAGTAGTCTATGCAAAGGTGCTAGAAAGGACGTGCCGCGAAATAACTGACCTCAAGATACAAGAAAAGCAGTGCAGCTTCTGGCCCTGTTGAAGCACCTCTGACCATATATTTGCCCTGTGCCAGATTGTTGAGAAATCGTGGGAGTACGCCTAGCCGCGGTACATGTTTTGTTGACCTTGAAAAAGCCTATTACCGGATCACACGCAACAGTCTCTGCTAATGCTTTCGAGCATGCGGGATAGATGACTAGCTGCTAAGGGCCATCCAATCACTGTCTTCTGATAGCAGGTGCTGCGTCAGGGTAAGTTAAGTCGAAACCATTCAACGTTCACACTGGTCTCCGCCAAGGCTGCGTACTGTCCCCTTGTACATGGATAGAATAGTCAGGTGCTGCCAAGGCGACCGGTGTATCGGTGTAGGAGATGTAAAGACGAGAAGGTTGCTGTTTGCAGACGACCTTGTTTTTTTGCATCTTCTGAAACTGATCTTCAGTGCTCCCTAGAAAGGTTCGCAGCGGAATGAGACTTGATCAGTATGCGTGTGAACGCGTCTAAAACGAAAAGCCTAGTGCTTTCTCGTTCTCCTGCCCATTGCTGTACCTCGGAATCGTATTTACTAGTTTTACTGATGGAAAATTTGAGCAAGAGATCAACCGGCAAATTGGAGTAGTCAGTGGCGTTCTGCGTGAACTAGCCCGACCCGTTGTGACGAAAGCAGAGCTCGGTCTG